CACAAAAAATTTCATAAAAATCGGTCCAGTCGTTTGAGAGAAGTTCAGTGACATACACACTCACAGAAGAATTATATATATATAAAGATATGTAAAAATATATGTTTCTATTTTTATCCACATAGTAAATTTATGATTTTATTAATATTCACACACTGACGGACGTTACAGACTCTAAAGAGGAAGATAAGAAGGGAATTGTTAAAATCTGTGCATACAATCTTCTAAAGGTGAACTTAGGATATTACCAAGGAACTTTCAAACAAAGCATCTAAAGATTTCTATCATAGTGGAGACCAGTGGAAGGTCAGTTTTTCTAACAGAATTAAGGATAACAAATAATGCATATTCTCGATATAGTTTTCTGAAAAGTCAAAAGCATGAATGGCACTTGGTTCTCGCTGAAAATGTTAAATAAAAGGAATACGTAAAGACATTCCAAATCTTTTCAATGCTAAAAATAAATCCAAAGAACATTATGTTTGCTTTCTTTGCGAATAAAAAAGTAATAAAACTTCGGCTTCGTTATTATTTTAATAAACTGAATATAAAATAAAAGTAGTATATAAAGAGTAGATTAATTCATAATCTCTCATGCTCTAGTATATTTTTAAAACTAACGTATAAACATATATCAGTAAAAGCGGCTACGCAAATCCTCTTAACAACCTTTTACAAAAGCGCTGAAACTATTTATATGGTAACGTGAAGCTAGATTTAAATATATGTACATGCATTTCAGAACAAACTAATTATTTAAAATAAAAATTCTGGTTCTAAGTAACGTGCCAATAATGAAATTTCGCTTTTGTGAGTTAGTCGTTGTGAAAAGAAAAATGAAAGAATGACGGATGAAATAATTGAAATGAATCACTACAAACAAAAGTATGAACATTTCTGTTCGTCCGATGTTTAGATAAAACTTTGTTATTAAAGAATTAAAAAAAGTCCATACTGGATAGTATAACTAGTGCTTTCTTTGTCTTCATAAATGAAATATTAATTTTATAATAGTAATATATAAAAATGATTTGGCTACTATTGAATCTTAAACTAAAACCATTATTAAACATTTATTTAAAAATATTTTTCTAATTGTATTACTCTTTTGTTGTGTGATAACAAAAAAAAAAAAACAATTTCATTATCTAATATCTTCTTCCTGGCAATTTCCCAGCTTTAGCCAGGGTCTGCCAGGGTCTGTCATCTTATTATCTGATATAACGGGAAAGAAATTAATAAAAGGAAAATAAACGATGGGTTAAGAGGAAGAAAAATAAGAAACGTGCTTTAAATATATAAAAATGAAATCGGATTGTGAAGGGTCTATTGAAGGTTATGAAGGGTTATAAAATGAACAAACCCTTTGGATAAAATCCAAAGTATGGTTCGGCCTTCGTATGATTTTTTTAATGGTTTTCCTATTTTTATTGATAGACCATATCGTTATTATATTAAAAAAATATGACTTGGAAATTCTTTTACGACAAATGTTTTGTTATTATAAATAACATTATGTTTTCTTAGAAAAATATATAGTGCGATAAATATGTTTTATAAAAAGAAAAATATTATCCTTTGTTGGAACAGAAAAAAACACTTAGTTTCAAAGAAAATTTAGTTCTCACAAGAGGTCGTCCGTCTTAAAGACTTAATAATTAAGTCTTCATGATAATGAGAGTTAAATTATAGTATACTTTATTTTTATTTATGTATTTACTGTTACAGTTGTATGAGAAAACTCATTCAGGTTCTTGCTACATGGAAAATCTACTCAATATAAACAAATGTAAGAGAAAATGTATTTCACAACGACAGTAACGCAAGTTTTCCGTCTGGGTCTGTCATACCAAAGAAACAACCAGAATGTTTATCTAAATATAAATGACTTCTCCAGCTCGCTTACATTTAATTTACAGTATATTATTTCAAAAGCTAAGTTATTTTTAATCTTCAAAGTAAATTTTTCCATTTCTCATTCTAACCAACTGAATGAAGACGTATTTTTCAAGTAAGTCTGGGCGAGTATTCTTTTACTTCTTTTAAATATTTCTTTCTTTGAACGTCACGTTAACAGACATTCAAGGAGAAACTCTTGGCTGGCACAGGTTTTAAGTAAGAAAATAGAACAAAATACTACTGTATATAATACTGTTTTTGTCATTATTAGTAATATTATATAAAAAATTAAATTTCAGATAATTCCGATTGTTATTTTGCTTATGAAAAAAATCGATCAGTTTTTGTTAATGGGTTTCAAAACTTGATAATATAAAAAATTATCGTTGAAAGTCAGTCAGAAGTTTGTATGACACTAAGCAGACGAGCTGAAACTTTACCAGTTATGAAAGTGTTCACCGAGAAACTCTTATAATATTGTTACATAATATAATTCACATATTAATCATTGTCGTCAAACTTTGTTTACGTACACTAATACATATTACTTACACAATTAGGTAATTAAATATTAGATTTTTGTCTGTCCTTGTTTCATATGGTATTAGGTATTAACTAAATTTTAAATTCTGTACCCTCTAACTATTTTATATGCTTGTGTTTTCTTATATCTCTCTTATTAAGGACATGAATTTATATTTACAACATTAAATAATGTATTATTGATAAGGAAGCCACTTATTAAACAATAAATTAAATACAAAACTTTATAATATACAGACAACAACGTAACAGATGTTTGGGACTGATTTATTAGTAACCCTTACTTTATTAATATTATTGCTATCACAAAAAATCTCTGATCATTCTGTATTAAGAATAATTATATGAATAAATAAATAAGGATTAGAGTGATAACAGAGACTTATATAAAAAAAATTACAACAGTTAATAAATTTTTAAGAAAAATAAGTAGTAATTATAACAATATATTATTAAAGACATTCGAAATTTATTTTTGGTTGAGTATAAATCGGTTTCTAAGGAATGTGAGTCAGAAATCAGAATAATTAAAACCTAAAGAAAAAATCTTTATGCAAAACATACATTTAAATAACTGCGGCAGAAATTATTCAAAATTAATTTTATTAACTTTTACAAAGCATCCGACTATAACAATTACATTTACCGTTTTTATCTTTCTTAGAAGATTTACATTTTCAAAGGTATCTGTGTTCTAACAAAAGAAAAAATGCAGTTAAAAGAAAACGTAGTTTTGAGTTAATTGAAACGAACTTGTTATCCATTTAGTAATTAAGACATCTTCACAGTTTTTTCTAAGGGAAATTCTTTTAGAAAAAACGTTACAGTTTTAGAATTTAATAACGGGAGAGGAATGATAATTTGAATTCGATTTTAATAAGTATTTGAAATAAACAATTTTTTTTAATCAATATATGATTTAAATAAGTTAGTTTTAGTTAACATTTTAAATTATAATATAATACTTTTTTACTACAGTTTCAAAAAGTGCAAATTGTAGCTTTGGTTAAATGTTTACAAAATGAACATGTTTATTTAAATTTTTTTCTGAACATATATAATTCTTTCATCTTTTAATAATATGCGGAATTTTATTTTAATTGCACCATGATTTAGTTTCGGAACTGTCATTTCTGAAATTAATATTGTAAATTAAAAATGTAATAGAAGAGTCATAAACAGTGGCAGCATTATTAATGTAGAGTTATATCACTATAAAGCGGATCTAATAAGCATGTGGTCAAAAGTGCAAGGGACCTAAGAATCTCTTCTACGGTGATGACCGTGAACTATTTGTTTAGCGGATATTTTTTCTTTGACTCTTTATTAGGATCAGTGCAAAGAAATTAAAAGTTTTACACAAACAGTAAAAAAAGCGTAATGTTTACATAAACATATTTTGCTAGTTACATCAGTTTTTTGCTCGCAAAAAGTTATCCTTTGAAAATACTGAAAGGTTTAGATATAAAAATCTCTTCAAGTTGATATTAAAAAATCTTAGCAACGCTAATGAAGTATTAGTTGAAAACTTTTTCTCCATATGCTGTTAATATATTATTTATAATTATCAAAGTGTGTCATATAAAGTAACATTAAACTATAATTAAAAAGACATTTCAATGATATGTATATAGATGTTTATAACATTACAAAATTTTATTTATAACTCGCAACAATAACTCTATCATGATACTTCACTGTCTTATTTAAGATGAATGATAAAATTTTTGTACAATTTTCCTTATGTATAAAACTTTCTTTTTGAATAAAAGCAATCTCTCAATTTTCCATTAGCAGGTCTCAGGTTGACATAAATTATTTCAGCCCTTTGCATTTCTTTCCTTTCACGTGAAAGGATTGTGGTTCTGTATAATTTGGGATCTCACTCCTTCAATTTCCGAGAAAACGAATAATACGGGGTTTGGGGACCAAGGTCAAGATAGTGTGACTGACGGGTTCACTTCGTTTTTATTGTAAACATCTGATTAAGATACTTTTATGATAATCTTAATCAGCTCTAACAAATTGCTATCAATATCTGAGTTTACTCTGAATTAATGTAACTAACTCAGAAGGAGCATGTCTTTTATCTTTATACAGTAATCGAGCCAGTTTTGCTTTATAAATGAAATAAAAGTTTGTAAATTTTACTATATAATATTTTAAGAAAAGCAATTTATATTTTAGATGCTTCATTAACATTCCCTTTAACATTGAATGTGGCCAATAAATGTTAGAAAAGAAATAACGGTTGAGCCGATTGTAAGATTAAAATAACTGTAATTGATATAAAAAATCGTATTAAATGAACTGTTATTTTATTCAAAGATTAAGACAGGATTTCCAAAGTCATATCATACTAAAAATATATTTTATAAATGCCACTAAACGTACAATCAATATAACTATGGCTGTAAAAGATTTTTATATATTATTTATTAAAGTCATAATATTTTAAATATTTTATAACTACTGAAGTAACAAAGGTTTCCATCATAATAATAAACTTACTATAATATAATAAATATGACATGTTTTTAAAAATCATTCATCCTTACCTGATAGCCATGTGCCATTAAACGGCTTATAGTGTTCTGTCATTATATCCGCGAGGGTCGGTCTTCTGCCTCTGCCTCTTCCATCATCACCGGCCGGAGTCAGCAGCGCTATGCTGAACACGATCAGCCCCAACACCGCTGCTATAACCAGCAACGCGATTAAAATACCGCGCCAGTTACGTTGCGTTGGTGTTGCTGCAGCTAGCTCCTGGAAAAAATGAAAGGCAAATTAAATTTATGTATAAAACGCTGCCTATAAAAAATGTTACTGTTTTTCGAATTATTTTACAAGTATTAGAAAAAAATTGGGAAACGAAAATACGAAAACATGAATCTGGCAAAACTGTTTTACTAAAATGTGTGCTAAAGTGAGTTAAAAATAAATATATCTTTTCAGGTAATATTTAAAAAGTTTACCAATTAATATGCAGAGTTCATAATCTCATAATTAAATTGACTTGTATGAAGAAGATTGTTTCGTAGAAAATCGCTACCTTTGTGTTCACAACTAAAATTATTTGCTATATACATTTGCTAAACTCTGACTATGTGTAAATTAAATATTATACACAAATAAAGTTTGTTGTAGCCTAGGTTTTGTGAGAAAATATATTTTATATAACAAGTTGTATATTATATATACATATATATTATCTCATTAATAAGACGTTAGAAATTAACAGGATTACATCATTAGGAGTGATATGAAAATGGTAGATTAACTTCATAAAGTAACCTGACATGGATTAAAATGTCTGTTATTAATTGAATTTTCTTATGAAGATTAAAGGTGATTATTTATCTTATCTAGAATTTTATAGACGACAAAAATACAAGTAAGTAGATGTATGCATATTAAGTACACGTGTAGCAAAATAGCTGCAAATTAATTCTCTTTTGTGGATAAGTACTATTTTTCAGTTTTTTAAGTCAAACAAAAAATCATAGACGAGTTTTTTTCACAAAAGAAATAGTCTTTTAGTTGAATTTCTTTGAAATGTACGAAAACGAGAAAATTTTATAGGTATGTATATGACATGAGTTATCAGTTATTTTTGTAATTCAGAATATATTATATGATTTTAAATCTGTATTGTACCAAAGTTAATATTGAATAAAACCTCGTGAACCGACGTTAGAAAATAATGAGCTCTGAAAAGGTTGAGGAGCTGAAGTATGAAAATTCTGAAGTTTGTTTTTGGTTTATTGAAGTTTATTAAAGAATTATATAATGTTTGTGGTTGATGGAATTATAATAACACTGAATTATGTAAAAAAAGTTATCAAGACTTTCTTTTAAAACAAAGTTTTTTTGGTTCATATAAAAAAGAATATTGCAACTTAAAAATATTAACAAACTTCTTATACTATATATTTACGGTTTTACTTAATACTTCTTACTAAGTAGTGTTATAATTAGGATTTTGGTAACTTAGTTGTTACGAAATATTTAAATAAATAATAATTAAAACATATGACTTTATTGTTAAATAACAGGAACCAAAGTAAGAAATAGTGTGCTTTATTTCGTCCAATTTTTCCATTGACAAAAGTAGACAAGGAAACTTTCTAATCATTTGTATATAAATATATAATATGCTAATATGTTTTATATATCTGAATCATTAAAGCTGGTAGAATGTTATATGACATATTTTTAGCAAAGAGTATTAACACAATATCATGTTAATTAGTTCAAATAACAAATTAATTTTATATAATCTTTCTTCCTATAGACGAATGAACACAACTTCTCCTCTTAGTTCTGGTGTATAGTTTAATTAAGTGTTATCAGTGTGTTTTGTACAAACACTGTAATTTACTTAAGAGACGTGAAACCGCTCTATGTAAATGTATATTAACATACAAAAGTCTTTGTAAGTTCCTTAATTATGTCGACAGTGTTATGTACCTAATTATATTTATGAGGACAAAGTTCAGCTGTTGTGATGTTTGTTCATCTCTGAAACTGATATTAAATAAATAATGATATTAAATTATAAGATTTAAAATGGTTTTGATATCACTTGTCTTATTCTATTCTATTTTTGGAATTTTTAATGTATTCGAAATTATTCTTATCTTTTAATGCACCTTTCTATTTCCATTTCAATAATTTAAATGTATCTTAGTCATTGTAATTTAACTGGCAAATAGCAATTAATATTAATTTATATTCGAATTAAGTATACTTTCAACTGATACGCAAATAACTACCTTTTTTTAAATACATAACAAGTATTATCAATTTTCCCTTCCTTTTGTAATGGGTGTATATCCTACTATAATTTAAGTCTGTTTTAAAAGTTATCGACACTGGTCTAATAGTAATATGAAATCATTCAAACTAGGACTTCACATTACACTATCTCCTAGAATTTCACTAAGTACTATAAGTTGACACGAATATGTATATTATATACACATATTATTTTGAGTTATGTGAAAAATATGTAAACACAAAAGTTTTAGATCTTTTTATTACCTACAACATTGCCATATAACTTTTTCAGTAGGACTTTTAGTTTTGCCCGAAATCTAGGGAAACCCATGTTTTACCCTTAAATACCCACCCCCATACCCATCCCAACCTCAGATCGCCCGTAAATTATTTTTCCTTTAATTTTTATAATATTCCTCTCTTTTTGTAATGGGTTTCATTCTACTATATTTTTTTCAATTTTCATTTATTTAAAGCCTTCTACTCTGGCCTATATCTTCAGTAAGAAATCACAAAAATAAGTACAATATTAAAAACAATTGAATTAAAGTTATACTAATTATTTCTAAGTATTATTTTATCCATTAGAATGTACTCTTCAATATTAAAGAACGAATAAATGTGAAGATTATCTTTTATTGAAACTCGATTGATGTAATCCACTTTCCATTATCGATGAATTTTTGTTTCAATGCTTTAATGTTATAGCTTTTTTATGGGATTAAATAGTCTGAAACATTTTCAGACGAGATAAGAGGAAGGCGGAATAGAATTAAGGTGAAAAATATCAGTTTGTTACTTTTTGGAAAGAAATATTCTCTGACGAGAGTTCAGTAATCATGAATATTAACTACCCATTTATATTAATACAAAGATATGTACATATTTTTTAGATAAGAAGGAAGTAGTGAGTGTAGTGTTATCCATTATACAATGTTTAGTTCGTGAAGAACTGAATTCTTTATAGTATAGTAAATAATGTGAACATAATGTGTGTGTGTGTGTGCGTGTGTTTGCGTGCGTGTGTGGGTGCGTGCATTATCACTTTTCCAAAATGATGTAAAGCATTTTTGGTTTCAATCCTCGCCTAATTGCTTTATTATAATGAACACTTTGTGTATCTTATAAAAATAACATTCACTTATGTATGTACTGATTTTAACTTATATATTTAAACCCACATACACTATGTGGTGTTTATAAATGAAGAGGTGTATAGAGATAATATAACATTTAGAGGCAGACTATAAAAATGAGATTAGTAAGGAAGATAGTTGATTATGTCGTGTGTAACTAGATTAAGTTACATAAATATAGCATTATGAACGTACATATGGAAGACTCGCTTATTATATCAAAATATGTTGGCGCCCTTGGGGAGAGTAGTAAATTATCTGAGGCCTTGGGTCGAGTGGCTCCAAGAGAACGGCCATTTTGTTTGACCAAATGTACTCTTTATATGTGTGTTGAACCCTCGAGAATGATTTGTATGATATAATTAAACTCGGACTTTTTGCTGGTCAAAGAAAGTGTGATTAATTTATAGTATTATTAAGAATACTTTGTTATTTCATAAAGCAAAAGATCTTCATAGATTGTTTTATTTTCATGAGCAAGCATTATTTTTTAATAATTTCGAAAACCAATATTATTAAGTGCCTTGTAATTGTATTGATGATACTTTTAAAGTTAAAATTAAATATTTTTTGGAGTAATATGTATTTATTTCAGTAAAACATTGAATATCAATATTTTATTTAATACGACAGTTGATACAATTAACATATCTTAGAAAAATGTAACTGAATTTTACTTTGTTTCAGGTTACTAAATATTAAAGAAAATGATTTCTAAATTTATAGACTGAAATTTATGTATCAAAAATATTTGTTTTCATGGTGACAGATGAATTGGAATTTTTAATTGAACTGTTAAAAAAGGATACTTTAAAGAAGAGTAATATTAAAACATTTTCCGTGCAAAAGTTGAACTACAACGAAGCTAGCAATAAAGGTTTTGTTTTCAAAACAGCAACCGTAGCTTTTTATTGTTTATAAAGGATTTGTATATTTTAACAGAAATATTGTTTTATGGTTATGACACGTATGGTTAAGTTTCTATTTAAATTTATGGCCTTTATTTGATATGTATATAAAGAAAGAAGTTTCTCAAAATCGAAATTAGTCTTCAAAGCGTTTTAATTTCGATTTTATATTATGTCTGTTTTTGTTGAAAAGCAGATGATTAAAAAAAATTATTATTGACGAAATAACTAAAATGCAATTTGTAAATGCAACAAAATTTAACAAACAATTTGAGGTACACTAAATAGTATGAAATCTGAAATTAACATTCTTAAGATTCTTTGAGTTACTAAACAATTTCATACAAATGCTTTTTTAATGAAATAAAATGGGCAAGTACATAAAATATAATGCTTTTAAATCTACACTGAAATCATATAATAATATATTAGGATGAAATTTTGTAAATTCCTAGAAGCAGTTGGTATTCTCCTGTGAGACAATGTTTAAGTCGTTTTTTTTTAATATTTAAATGTTAATATGAAAATGTTTCTATTACCTATAACCTCTAGTAATATATATAAAATTTACTGACTAAAATAACTAGTAACATCATTTTTAATAATTTAAAAAATATATATTTTTGAATCTTGTTCGTTTCGTCAATACTAATTCAACATAATATAAATCTAGACATCAATATTGAAAAAATAAATTAATATGTATATTTATTAATTGAGTAAAAGGAGAGAGTTGTGGAAACGATAATATTTACCATTTAGTGATGAATCGCTTCTTGGAATTTTCTTTTGCGTCAAATCTTTGGATCTCAAAGAACTATTCATTATCTGATAATCGAACGGAGACTAATAGTCGACATTTAGGAAGACAAATAATAACGAGACAGAACTTAATGGATAAAACAATACTCTGTTGTATTCAAACCGTCCCTTTATATTTATCTCACCTCTGTTTGGGTATGACATAAAATTATCCTAAAAATCATTTGGCGTATCTGAAAGTGGTAGATTATACGTATTTTTAGTACTTTATTTTGGTATAAATTGGCTTATATTTAAAATCTAAGAACGTAATATATTATGCTATCAAAAATAAATAATAAGTCGATTCTTTATATACTTAATTCAAGAAGGTATATACCTACATAAAAGCATAGAACTATTTTACATCACTTCCAAAGTTTTGCATTTAAAAGTTTATGTTCGTTCAAAATAAAGCAATACAAGAACGTCATGTTAAGAAGCAGAATAAATGAAAGAGATTTATTGCCAGATGCTACTATAAGTTTTTATAATCGACTATCAAATTTAATATATTATGTAGAAAATAAATTCAATTTGCGTTTCTCTTGGTTAATCTTAATTTTAACTTAGAAAGTACAAGTATATTAGTTTATGTGGTGAAATAATTATATATTTATTTTGGTAATATACAATTTAAAATTTTAGCATGTAAAGAAATTAAACCAATACAAAATCGTAATGATCGTAATTCACAATTTGAGTCCATTCGTGATTTAACTAAAATAAATAAATTGTTGTTATTATTCTTATTTGGTCTGGTATTGGATATTATTCTCAATGACGTGAATCTGTTTAGCAGAATAAAACTGAAAATTAATATTTCTATGATATAAAATAACAGGAACCGATATATCTGACATAAAATACTGAAAAGAATGGAAAGAATTAGTTTCATAACTGGAACGAATTCGTCATTATAAGCGCTTTATAGTTTTATGGCGTTACCAGTCATAAATTTATATTATTATTAACTTTATTTTAAATAATAGAGGTATAAAAGGCAGTTTATTTGTTGTGTTCGGCTAAATAAGACCATGTGTGGAGGATTTATTCGTCTTTATTTGACATATTTGCACAAATAAGACACATACACAAATAAGCGAAAACGCGTGAAGTCGTCTTGTTGGCATGCCAAGTGTGGATGTCGTGTTTGTGCTATTTGGATTACGTACAAATATGGACAAATGCAGCTAATACGCTACACGAATACGCAACGCCACGTGAAGTGCCACCTTTAGAATTCGTGTGCAACCTCTGAGCTAAATATCAGTTTGGTAAGGTTATTGGTCCTATATATGTATATAGAGCTGATCTCATATTAAAGGGAGGAGTTGCCACTTTCTTCCTTCAAACACTAATCAACGTCAAATGTCCTCTCCTCAACGATGTAAGTGTGATTCAGCACTTTCACTTTTTAACTCGACCGAGTTACACCATTTTAGCCGAGTTTAATAAATTTAGCTCGACGTATAGCTTGAATAGAGTTTGAAATTTTTATAATAAATAAAAGTTTCTTTTAGAGATTGATAGTATATTTCTCAAAATTTCAATGGAATTCTTCTAATAAATATATTAAAAAATAAATATGTTATTTTAATAAATAATACGAAACAATTTATTTTTACATCAATGAATATGATAAATAACTACATAAAAATGGCATAGAAAAATAAAAAATCTTAATAATCTTCTATATATATAAAAATGGATTGCTGTTCCTTAGTCTCGCTAAAACTCGAGAACGGCTGAACCGATTTGGCTAATTTTAGTCTTGAAATACTCCTGGAAGTCCAGGAAAGGTTTAAAAGGTGAGAAAAATTGGAATAATTGCCGGGAAAATCCTAAAAACAGCTCTTTTTTATTTCCCATACAAACACTTTTTTTGACATTAGATTTGACAACTACCTAATACGTCAATCATTCTGTTTGATTGAAACAGGAAAAACCTGATTATTTATGGCCTCTAAGACCGAATAGAGTTTGCCTGGTCAGATTCTTCATCAACCTAGCAATTTTCCAGCTATAGCCAGGGTTTGCCTTACATGTTTGTGAATAGTTTTGGCTATTTGTTTTTACGACCGGCCGCCTGCCTGACATCAACCCTCTCTTTCGGAATCAACATAAATCAGTGATGTCTAAATACTCTTAGAAAGTACATATGACTCGGAAAAATCACCTTGGTACTTGCCCGGGCCAGGATCGAACCCGTGCCCTCGGCAACGAGAGGCGGCCCTTTTAGCCACTAGGCCACCACTGCCTGGTCAGCTATACCTACATATATTACTCTTGACCAAACTAACGCGGACGAAGTCGCGGGCAAAAACTAGTTCAAAATAAAATAGGTGTCAAACGGAGCACTATTATAAATATATAATGATTTCATCCACTAACTAATTTGTCCATTCTGTACAGTACTTTTCATATTTCGCTTTAAACACTAGCAAAATACTAAACTTGTTTATTTTTATAAGAATATCTTCTTTGGTAACTTGTTTGGAAGGCAATTCCTATTTATTTCAAATTTGCATTTCCAACATAGGAACACAAATGAGCAAAACTAACATAGACACAAAGTATTCTCAAATTATATCTTTTTTGTGAATCTACGGTCTAGTGAAATGTTAGTTAAGATTGGGGTCAAATAATTAGTTTAACAAATAGTTATTCTTACTAATGACCAACTCTCGATAAAACAATAGTCTTATATTTTATAATATAAGACTGCAAACTCGTCTATGACATTCTTGTCAGAGTGTTAAATAAAATTTATACGCTTGAAAATGTTTTAATAAATACGCAAGAATGTTTTAATAAACACATCGTTCTTAATGGGATAGGAATTCAAATAATAAAAAAATAATTTTGAAACAAGCTAAAGCAAACTACTTAGTTCAAAAAATAAACATATTATTGAACTTCAAAAAAGCATTATTTGTTATTAAACATTCACATCTCGTCTGCCCGTAATCACAGTTGCTGAAAAGTAACCGAAACGTCGGGAGTATGTAGTTTAAAATAATAAAATCCGCGTAGTATATAATCCGAATAATATTAGTTTCTTTTAAGCATTATTTGTTAACAAAACAATCAAAGTTATGCTCACTAAAGGAATAAAATATCTTGTGTATAAATTTAATATTTTATTATTAATACTTGCCAAGCCATACCGTCGATTAAGTAAGAATAATCTTCAAATACAATTTTCTTTCAACATTACCTGATTTTGAATGTTTGATAAATATATTAAAATAAATTCAAGTGATTTAAATTAAACACTTCTTCTATTGACTTAGCAATAACTAAATGATTGGATATGATTTAGACTTGTTGTGAGAAGACGAAGTTTCTGAATTGTTCACAATTTCTATTAAGATCTCAAAATTCTGTGGCAGCATTTTTTGAATACGAAGAAATCCATAAAGACTTTGCACTTAGTAACGTTAGCTTAAAGGATAATCGAAGCTTATGACAACAGAGGTTCCGAGGCCATTAAGAGATTCAAATCTCTGCGGGCTTGTTACTCATTAATGAGACCTTTCTTGAGTGATGTCAATATTTCAAAAGTTAATGCTTTGTAAATACACTTCAGAAGGATTTTCATATCATCTACTCGGGAAATGGTTCTGGCTTGTGAAAACAGGTTTTTTAATATCTCGCATGTGGTTTATTTGTATAAACTAGTACAAATTTAGAATAGTTTTGAAGAAGTATGGAAATGAAATTTAAAATTGTATTTTAGTTCTTGTTTATAAAGTGTCTGTGTACATTTTTGTAGAAAAAAACTCATTTTCTCGATGCTTCTGGAGGATAATATGTGCTTTACTCTCTGAAACATATGTCTATATTAAAAATAGTGAAGTCAAATATAAGTTGTGCTTAATGCTGGACTTCCAATAAATCTTGTAATGGATGTAAGTAATAATAATAGTCTTCTTTATTGTTCTTTATAGTTACAAACATACAAATGTGGCGGCCTTCGCTCAAGGAAAGGATCTTTCAGATAACCAATGATATAAAGAAAAGTATGTGAGGTATTTGATGGAAGTATTTATAAAAGTAAACACACAAATTACATATATACATTAAAATAAAGAACAAATAATGTTTTTAAGATATAGTATAACATATATGTACATATAATAAAAGAGTTTAATTTGCTATACAAGTAATATAAATTTATAAATTGTAGTAGCCACTTCAATTTATGAAAAATAAGATTACTAGTCAAATAAAATAAAAATACAGAAAAAAATAAAAAAGTTCTTGTAAAAGTTGGCACTCACTTGGCTAATGATATAAATAATGAAATTTCCAAGCCAAGTATAATCCTAATGACTAACGAGCGATAACTCGGCTGACCAACTGGATTTTTTTATATCATTATCTATGAAGTGCCTGTTTATTTAACAATAGTTTTGATATTATTTATTCGACAATAAATTTAAGATAAACTATTTGTATCTTTCAAATGATCAAAAATATTACATGTAAACTCGGGTGTTTCAATCTGTTAATAAAAACCAATAGACCAATGCTTGTTTCCATTGGGTACTAATGATTTATGTCAAAAACTTTTTTTTGTTTTAAGGGGTAATAAAAAGTATAACATATCTTTTACAAATAACTCAAATTCCAGTTTTGCCACGAAATATATTTCATAAGCAAATAAAAAACTCGATTCAGTGAGAAAAGTATATATATATATTTTAAAACCACAGTAGCCAATTTAATAAAACCGTCCCCGAACAAAAAAAAAAATATCTAAGTTATTATTAAAAATTGAGAGTTATAATTTATATTTTGTACTCGTATATGCCTCACATTTATCACTGTTTATGAAAGCGATAAATGGTTTCTGGTTTTCTTTAGATCTATGAGAGAGCAGTTTCAGTGTCTGATAATAGGCGAGAAGAGGACTTCAAGGAAGCTACGAAAAGACAATACAAACAGGAAACTGAGAGATAATGCTCGCTAGTATCGAACTTATCTCCGTAAATAATTGTCTTAGTTATTATCAGTCCATTAGAGACACGAATATGTGGTCTATTTTCTTATTATTACTTATTTTACAACGAAAAACTAGCATTATGTTAAGAATATTTTTTTAAGTACATGGAAAATTCAATTTCATAAAATGAAGCAAAGTTAACTAGTAAAGAAAAAAGTTACATAATTATTTATATATACACTACAAACGAGTAAACACTCGATGAAAAACATGTGAATAAAAATACGTCTATACATATACATATATATTCAACTCATTATAAATGAAGTCGACGAGGGAGGCCTATGTCCAGCAGTAGACTTCACATGGCTGAAGTGATGATGATGATTATAAATGTAGGCATTTTAAAAGTCTGGCTTGAGTTAACAGAAGATATCGACAATCTAAGATTGTTCATGAAATCTTTAGAGATTTGACGAAATGATGTAATAGCTAGGAAGTGGACACACTTAGCACCTAATACAGCTATCGTCTTTAAGACTAATTATTCTGACTAGTCACTAGTCAGTGAAGTTAAATCGTAGTTACGATTTAAAATCTTTTATTCTTGTCCTTCTATTGAGTACCACTAGTAATGACGCAGATACAGATAAAGTATTAACACTGTATATTGTCCAATCTTGTCTAATTTTAGTTCCAGAAAGGGCTAATAACTTAAAATATTAATAATAAATCTTATATTATGTAAAAAACTTCACAAAGTAACGGATTTGAACGTTTCATTCTATCTTATTAGGAAAATTTAAAGCAACACTTCTCAAAAATATTTAAAATAATAAACATGTTTTTCTAATCGAAAAATAACACGTTTATATCTTAATTATTTTTACAAGTAGTAATTTTATACAAATATTTACTAGAATCTATTTATAGGATCCAGGGACGTGAACTTGACAAAAAGCATCTCATCAATCTCCAATTTGAAAAGGAAAAACATGTTAGAAGGTTTCAACTTCAAAATTAATTGATTAGTGTAATGGTGGTAAATGTAATCACACCTTCCCCGAATAAGGATGGGCTTAAAGGTTAAGATAGAAAGGTATTGTAAGCAAGCAAGTATGCTGTTTATATATTTTAATTACCTATGCTATATTATTTGCTTAGGCAGCTGTTATAATAAATTTTGAACTATGCGCCGCATTGAAAACACTGACTCAGCGGATTTTACTTCTTGTTTCTTAAAGTTCGGCCATTTTGTATTGAGTCAGGTGAATTTAAATTAAGTTATTTTCATGTGCCTGTATTTCAATTAAAGAACTGCAATTTGGCAGGAAACAGTAATTTTTATGGCTTATACAATCCAATGTTGAAATTTATTATATAAATTACAATATTGTGACAAAATTTGTTATCTTTTATATGATATGGGATGAAAGATTTATTTTATTCTTTTGTATACGACACTATTAATTTATGTCAGCTGGATAAATTGGATATAATATTTGAATACAAATAATAGAGATGACAAATCTATCGATTTTGCCAGGATTTAAAGTGTACGTAGTTTAAATTTATTATCAGAGTATGGTCAAGACAGTTTAATTGACTAAGCGGGTGTAACGCGGTGTTTTGCCCGTGACGATGAATATTTCGTACATTATTATTTATCTGAATTTTAATTAAAGTATTCATCTTGATGTTCTTGACACTTTTTTGTGTATTTTAAAAACCTCTCTCTTTATAGTAAAATCAAACGTACGCTAGAACGAAATGAATTGTTTTAGTAATAAGACTTTGTGAATGAAATTAATTAGAAGGGGAGAATGGAAGAATTTGGAAATTTAAAGACATTGGCAATTTCCTATCACGCTTTGATAACGAGAGGGTATGCTATTATTAGAAGATCGATAGACCTTCAAAATAAATACGAATTACGTTTAGCTCTAGAATGGTAATGTTGAAATGTATCTACAAAAATGTTATATGTATATAAAAAAAGTGATCATACATTTTATTCCTTCAGTACATATGTACTTTACTCTTCATATATTTTTTTTACTTCAAAAATTCCTTTGTTAGATATTAAAAATAAAAAAAAAAAATAATCACTACATACATTTCTGTCTTTTTTTAACAAAAACATTTATTATAATTTGGTTACTCTTAAATAGTATAGGTACATATAATAAAGAACATAACAAATATTAGTTTGATGATTAATGTTTTCCATTTTGTAAACTGACTGTCGTAAAGAAATGATCGAAGATAAATTAAACATATGAATTACGGTTTTCAAAAAATAAAAGGATTAGGTGAAATAGCTGTATAAATTTGATATTGTAATTCCTAACCCAAAGATATTAAAAGGGAAAGTACGACAAAAACGAAAATTTCATATATTACCTACTGGTTTTACTAACGTCTTAAAAAATACACTATTTCTTGAATTAATTAG